ATATATATATATATAAACATTAGTAAACAAAATAGTTATTCAAAATCATTCTAGTACTGGTATGAACCTTGTAAATCTTTCACGTTTCTTTTCAATATCTATCAATCTTTGAGAACAATTGAAATTTTTCCCTCCCTTCTTCATTGTTACTTAACTGTTAATAAGCATACCATTGGATAGTCATACAGTTTTATCTTATAAATTATTTACTATTAATAAGCAAAATAATTATTCAAATTCATTCTAATAACTGGTATAAATTTCCTTATAAATCTTTCACATTTCTTTTCAATATTTTATCAATCTTTAGAAACAATTGCAATATTTCCCTCTCTTCTTTATTATTGCATTAATTATAAATAAACATACCATTACATAACAATACAGTTTTATCTCATAGATTATTTACTTATTTCATTTCTAACTCATTACAGTATTCTACTGTCACAACACTATCTTTTGTACCTTTGCAGAATCCTCACTTTTAACTTAATTTAACCATTGTCTCTGTGTTTTCTAGCTGAGCAAATACCTTTAATCCTAGTACGTTTCCCCTTTTTCTTTATTTCCTGTTTTTGTCCCTCATAAGTTCTTTCCCTTTCTATCTTCCCCCCCTTTTCTCATCCCTTTTTTATACCCTTCTTTCTCTAATTTTCCCTTGTGTAGTTTTTTTTTCCTGCTTCTCTTTGCTGTTATATTTCTATTTCAGACTATTTTTCTTTTTGACTGTTCCCTTTGACCTCAAACTTTTAACTCCTTTCCCCCTTTTTCCCCTTATTGCCACACTTGGCATTATTTGATCATTTAAAATGTCTTCTTCTTCATCCCGCCCTTCTTCTTGATCTTGAAGCTTTTCCTTTTGCTTTTCATAGTTCAAGATCTCCATTTCAAAAAATTCAAATACAAAGCCTGTTAGGGATACACCCTAGCAGAATGTGTATGGCATTCTGGCTGGCATTGTGGCGTTTTTCTTTCTTGCAGAATCTAGCCAAATGTCCTCCACAATTAAAACATTTTCTAATTGTATAGGCTGTTGAAGATAATTTCTCTTCTTGTGGTTGTTCCCTTCTCAGTTGATCCCTTTCAAGCCTTCTCCTGGCTTCTTCAATTAATCTGCCAGTAATGTCAGCTAATGTGAGGTTAACTTTTGGCAGTACTTCCAGCGAAGTTACATAGTCATCATAGCTCTCATCTAACGAAGACAAAATTATATAAACCTGATGTAGTTCAGTGAAGATAAGTTCTTTTTCATGCAGTTCCTGAAAAATCTTCTTCATAGTGTTTATATGAGTCAACATGTCTCCATTCTTTTGAAGATGTGTTCTGAATAGCTTCCATGTAAGATTTATATGTGCTCCTACACTGTCTTGAACATAAATCTTCTTTAAATTCTCCCAACATTTCGCAGCTGTTTCTTCTCTACGAATATGGACAAGCTGCTGGTCACAGAGTGTCAGTCCTATTATACAGAGAGTTTGCTCATTCTTCAGTTTATATTCTTGTATTTTCTGGGCATCATCCTCATCCTCCGGATCCCAAGCATCTACCTCTGGTGGGTTTTGAATTATACTCCACAAACCTTCTCTACATAGAAGTAGGCTGCATTTCATGGACCATGAAACATAGTTTGTTCCATCCAGTTTGGATATTAGAGACAAACTTGGTAAATTGACTTGTGCCATCTTTCTCTGGATATTAAACTATAATTAATAAAACACAGCTGTCTGTTTACAGTATTGTGTAACTACACTAACTCTCACTTTATATAAGCCTGTTATATCCTGGTTAGTCTGACTGTGCAGCTGGGCCCATAACCAGTGTTAGGGATACACCCTAGCAGAATGTGCACGGCAGGCAGGCAGGCAGGCAGGCAAAATATGTGAGATAAACGTTTTTGTAGCTTACACTCAGTAAAACAGATACACTGTGCTAGTTAAATAGTTTATTCCAGTAAGAGTTTTAGCATAGTCAAACAGTCCATATATCATTCACTAGTTCAGTCCGTCCGGGGATTATTCAGTTGCAAAGTCCAGTGTCAAAAAAGAGGTCAGTAAACTTACAAATATCAGTCCAGTAATATATCTCCTCGCAGTAGAGATAGGAAGAAGTCAAACCTCCTTTCTTCCTTCGACGTTCAAAACTCAGCAGCAGGGAACATGCAGTTAGCAAACCAGCAATCGTCAGCAATCGTCAGCAGGTTCTCTTGCTCCCTCTTATGGCGGTTTCACAACCGCACCCAAAATTACATGCTTTGCAGTTTAAAGTGACACACACTTAAACTTACTATCATAGTTTATATATATTATTTTACCCAAACTACGTTAGGTAACCTTGTTATTCCTAACAAAGCCAAAGGATCTTCCTCCCCTTTCTGCATCTTCTTTCTGTTTTTTAAGACTCATCTTCAATTCCTCCAGGAGTGATGGCATTTTAAACACTTTTGAACAACCACCCAATTGACTTTAAGTAAAAACAGAAAAAGAAAGAAAAAACCAATGCCAAAAACTTTTTTTGTAAATCACCAAATGATCCCAGACTGTTCCTTCTTGTTTCTTTCCTTTCCTTTTCCTTTCCGTGGGTTACTGTATCTTTTAATAAGATTTCAGTTACAATGTATACAATGTATTCAGCCCCGAATCCAAAGGATTGGGACACTAAAGCGGCGAGCTCAGATTGAAACCGTGCACGATCGTGGATTTCGGTCTGTTGCTGAAGAAACCCAAGCCGGAAGTTCCACAGTCAATTCTCTGAATGTGTATCACTGTTTAGGCTACTTGCTTTGGAGAAATAAAGCAATAAGCCTGATTCATCTTTAAGTGAGGAATTGAATCTGGTCTGACAGCTAAATTCAGGACCCCACCTTACCTAGGAGAAGATAAATATCAAGGAAGTACACCTTGAAAGAGGTGTAAATCTCATCCCAGGAAAGCTCCTGTTCCTTCTACCACTGTCACCTTTTGGACAAAGGATGCCACACTCCCAATAAACTCAACTGGGAGATGCAATTGGAACTTGCCATTTTACTTTTCTATTCAGCATGGGAGAAAGTGTGGGAGAAAGCCACTTGCAAAACACTATTTAATTATAAAGTGCACCACATTAAAAGAGCATATTCATGGACAGGATTTATTCTCCATGAATTATCCAACATTACAGGAATTAAAAGGGAGGGTGACAATATCATTCTATAAGGAGTATTAATAAGCAAAACATGCACTCTAATGTTAAGCTATAATCAAGTGGGCACCCCTGATATAAACCTAATGATCAGATGGGAAACTAATGACAGCCAGATGCAACTTTTATTTTAATTAAGCAAGGCAGTTCTCATGTTCTCAGATATCATAAGCCACCACCTGTGAGCAGTAGAGAGCCATACAAATGCTGCAAGGTTCCTTCACACTCTTCCCATTTATATATCCTTTTTAGTACAGAAAGCAGTTTTCTCCAAACTGGAGCTTTCCAAATGTTTTATGTTAACATGGCAGTCCCCTCAACCTTGCCTGGCTAATAGCTGAAACACTCTTCTCTGTCAAACTCACGTTGTCAGGGCAGTGTCATGTGACGTATCAGGACTTTTCCCCCCTTCGCTAAACCAGGTGTGGGTGTGGCCAGCGTATGACACATCTGGCCCACAGGCCGGGAATTTGACAGCCCTGCTCTAACACATCTGCAAAGTATCAGCTGATATCAAAACACATCTTCTTTCCCAGCCGTTTATTCCTATCCCCTTTTTCTCTGTGAATTTTCTCTAGAGCTCCTAAAGGAAATCAACCTCAA